TAGCGAGAAGAAATCATGGTATTTACACTTTTAGAGTTCAAGAACAAATGTATCATTCCATAGATGATCTATTCCCTACGAACCAAAAGGCAAAAAATCTGCAACTATACTTTTATGACAATGATAATGAACTAGCAAACAAAATGGCTTGTTCCAATAGGATTGATGAAAGTATAGTCAGAAATTTGATGGAGTTGCTGGGAAATAATCCATATTCTATTTTTTTAAGATCGTTGACTAATGTTCCAAACCTGCCAAACTTCTATATTGCGCTTAAATGTGATACAGGCTTGGATCAAGGAATATATATAACCTCCATACTGCATCAGAAGTTGCTACAATATGGGTTGAAGAAAATAGTAGTAATGTTATTCGAACACCTCATACCCGAATTTACACTAATAGTAACAGGTCACAATTAGTAAATTATTATTATGGTTGTTATGATCCTATACAGTATCCATTACTATTTCCATATGGTCAAGGGGGATGGCATTGTGGAATTAAAAAAATTATGCCTGCAACTAGAATTCATGGACACGTTATTTCTTGTGAAAATGAAGACTTACCAAATATTAGGAACATGTGTTCAATTGATGGATATCTTGAAATGGAAGAGCATGTCCTACAATGAAAAAACGAAAAAGAGACGATGTTTCTATTCGAAGCTATTATTGTTAAAAACTTCAAATAAGAAATGATGATAAAGATGATGTTTTACACACAGGAAGATTATTTCAACAATATTCTATAGATGAATATATAAAACTTGAAACACAAAGATTATACTTTATCTTATTTAATCCAGATTTGTTCAGAGTCAATATGTTACAGGGAATTGTCGATGCTTTGTAGTTTGGTGAGAGGGAAGCTGCTAACATTGGAAGACAAAATTTCCTCCACGGGGTCGGGTTCTTTTAGGGATAGACTTGTGAAGATCCTAATTAGTATATATAATTTATCAACAAATATATCTGTTTGTAAATTGATTCATCGACTTATAACTTACTTGGATGCATCATTGAATATTAAAAATAAAATGTTTGACCTATATCTATTAATAGTAAAAATAAAATGTCTCGACCTATATCGATTAATCTATGTCATGCATTATTAATGATGAATGAATGGAAAATAGAAGAGTGAATACTAAACATCTTTGGCACGTATGTATATATATATATATATATATATATGTGTGTGTGTGTGGGGGGGGGAGGCGAGACAAGGTGGGAACATTATTATGCACGTGTGGCGAGACAAGGCGGGCATTCATTTTACTATTGCANAATTAAAGAAACGAAAGAAGTTATTAGTATTAAGTAAACGAGTTAAATTAATAGGTCAAACATGGTAGAGTTACAATTGATAAAATTGTCAGATAGATAGGTTGACACTCACTCTACTATCTGTTTAGCCATGTCTTTAGTGTACCACTGTCTCAATGTAACTTCATCAGTACTTGCATTTTGTTCATTTTGCCTCAAATTAGTCCTTCTTCAGTTTCGTTCAGTGAGCACTTTTTGGCTGCTGGTTATGTTGTTTTTTCCCATTATTGACGATAATTTTTTTGAAATTCTTATGGACTTTTATAGTTTTTAGTTAAAATGGTTTGACAAGTAATAGTATAGCACTATTGTGACTTTTACTATGTAACAATTTTGTATAAAGGTGCTTTTGTACCTTTAGGAAAGTTTGTATTTACATGTTATTCTTCTTATCTTTTGTTAGATGTTTCTTGAAATTTATGTGTGAGGACTGACGATTATGATTCTAAATTTTCCTTCGGAGTAAACTTATTTCGTCTATAAACCAAAAATTGTTATATTTCTAATATTGGTATCATCAAGCCATCTGCAAGTAGAGAGGTCAGTAGTTATACCATACTGACAGAATGAATATGACTATCATCTTGCTAAATGTAATTGAGGGGAACTAAGAATAAAAATATTCTCCATATTCTGGACACTTCGTTCCGAACTTCAGAAAATTTGGTTTCTTTTAGTTATTCTCATGTAAGCATTTGAGTTTTTTTTTTATATTTAAAAGTGCACTATGACTTTATGCAAAATGGTGGCAAAGAAATCAGTTGAAAAAATGTCAAATAATGAAGTAAGTGTCAATTTTTTGTTCTCTGATGTTTTTTCCGCATATGATAATCCTCGCCAGCCATCGAATATAACTGCATGTTCCTGAAGCTCTTTTGTATTCTCATGGTTCAAATTATAACCATATTGGAATTTTTTTTGGATAAATACATGTTTATTTTTTAAATGACAACTCCATACTTTTATCCTTCACTTCTATTTAAGTCAATCTTTAATTCAGGCGAACAACCTTTGCATTAAAACCAGATGGCGTATCTGGCTACTTCTTTGTCACCAATCTTCTCCTGTTTTATTTTCTTGAATAAATTTCTGGGCGGTGATGAATAATGAATTCCATTGATTTATAAGCATTATTTGAGAAGTGTCTCCATTTATTTTTGGCTAAAGTATGATTTTGAAGAATTTCTTTCCAGAAAAAAAACAAAAAAAAGCGTATTCTGAAGAAGAAAAAATTGTATTTTGCTCCTTGTTTTATTATTCCTGTGAGTTTTGATTATTTGTAATGTCTGAGATTCCAGGAAAGCGAAAGTATAAGGGGAAGAAGTTGCAGCTACAGTCCTCTCTGTTTTGGTTGTTTATAACTTGAATTTCTCACTTGTTAGAGTTGTTTCTCCTCATATTAGGACCAACCAAGAGCTGGCATTTTTTTCTTTTTGAAACTCAAGGTTAAAAACTTTATGCAAGATTGATTCTTTAGAAAATTATATTTTTTTGGGTGTTTAAATTTCTTGTAATCTGTACTTGACAGAGCTGTTAACTGTGACGACCCGACCGGTCGTCTTAAGAATTAACGCCCCGATCTCCTATTAACTGCTTTTCCCATGTTTATTTCTGCTATTTTGATTTGCCGGGATGTTTGGTTTTGAATTCGGAGAGTTTTGGGATACTTAGTCCCTAAATGAGAGCTTAAGTGTTGGAAAGTTGACCATAGTCGGATCAGTGTGAAGACGGCCTCAAAATGGAATTTTGATGGATCTGTTAGCTACGTTGGGTGATTTCGGGCTTAGGGCGTGTTCGGATTGTATTTTGGAGGCCCGTAGCTAATTTCGGGCTTGGGTGATTTCCGGTTCGATAGTGAGATTTTGATCCGAGGGTCGGAATGGAATTCCGGAAGTTGGAGTAGCTCCGTAGTGTTGAATGTAACGTGTGTGCAAAATTTGAGATCATTCGGACAAGGTTTAATATACTTTTTGATAGAAAGCGTATTTTAGAGTTTTGGAATTTTTAAGCTTGAATCCATGGTTGATTTGTTGTTTCGATGTTGTTTTAAGTGTTTTTAGAATTGGTATAAGTTTGGATAGTGGTATTAGACATGTTGGTGCCTTTGGTTGAGGTCCCAGGGGCCTTGAGATGATTTCGGATGGTTGACGGAAGGATTTTGGAGTTTGGAGTTACAGCTTCAGCTGCTGGTTTTCTGTCATAACCACACTTGCGAGTGTGGGACCGTAGGTGCTGCACCGCAGAAGTGGCTATGTGGCCGCAAAAGTGAGATTGGCCCAGAGCTCCAGGATCCGCAGGTGCGGCTGGGTTTTCGCAAATGCGGTGCCGAAGATACGGACCCAGCCCGTTAAGTGACTTTTCGCAACTACGATGCATTCTTCCGCAGGTGCACTCCCTTGACAGCAGATGCGGTAATCGCTGGGAAGAAACATATAAATGCTTGCCTTCGCGAAATTTAGTCATTTTTCACCTCTTTTCAAACGGGAAGAAGCTTGGGGAGCATTTTCAAGAGGGATTTTCAGAGGAGTTCGTTGGGGTAAGGTCTTTGGTCCCTAAACTCGTTATTGGCATGATTTTATCATTATAAGCATGAAAAATTAAGGAAAATCAATGGTAATTTGGGAGTTAGGGCTTGACTAATTAGAGGCCTTTGAGTGATGATTTGAGGGACAAATTCAGTTCCGATTTTGGTAATTTTGGTATGATTGAACTCGTGAGAGTGTAAGGATTCTTGAAATATAAATTTTACCTTATTTCGAGATGTGGGTCCGATGGGAATTTAATTTCTTTGTAGAATCTGTTACTTGAAGTGTTATTTACATTATGAAATTGAATTGAATAGATTTAGGGCAATTGGAGTCGAGTACTCGTGGCAAGAGTGTGGTTTCAGATTGATTTGAGCTGGTTCAAGGTAAGTGGGTTGCCTAACCTTGTGTGTGGGACCTTCCTCTTAGGATTTGGTATATTTGATAATTGAAATGCCCTATACGTGAGGTGACGAGTGTGTACTTGAGCTAATTGTTGAAAAATCCGGTTTTCTTTACATAATGTCAATTGTGTTCCTTTTTCCTCTTTTATTTTACTTGCAATTTAAACCTGTTGTTAGCTTAGAAAAAGCATGTCTAATTGACTTAACTATTTATTTGCTTAAACTGCCCTAATTAAATTAGGTGAAGCATGTTAAATTAGAATTACATGTTTTACTTGGTATGAACTTGAGCTTAATTGAGTATTCTCGTGTTGTTGCTGTGTGTTTTACTTTGGGACTACGGGACGGCATCCCGAGAGATCCCCTGTACGTATTTATGATTTGAACTGAGGTGCGGGATACCAAGAGATATCTGGCACATATATTGAGGATAACAAGAGATCCTCGGGATACCAAGAGATCCCTAGCATATATTGAGGATACCAAGAGATCCCTTGTATATATTGAGGATACTAAGAGATCCCCGGTTATCATCCTTGTTATGAGTGCTATTTCCTTGTGATTGTCTTTATCTCTATTTCAGTTATTGTATTCCTTAAAATCCCGTATTAAATTCTTACTGTAGATTCTCAATTGTACTACTTATCTTATTCTGTCATCTCTATATTTATTTAATCTCAGTAGTACTTTTTCCCCTTCTGCGCATGTTTTTCATGTGCAGATCCAGGTACTTCGACTCAGTCCTATCACCTTTGAGGCGAGGCAACTGCTCCAGAGACTTCGAGGTATATCTGCTGTGTCCGCAAACCGAGTCCCTTTTCATTCTGTCTTGTAGTGATAGCCCTTCTAATTTTTTTCTTTTGATGTAGACATTCTGGAGTTAGAGCACTTTTATTATATTCGTAGCTTGTGATTCAGGGGTTTCCGGGTTTTGGGAGAAATAGTACTAGTTTATGAGAGTTGGTACTGCGTATGCCGAGTGGCACTTTCAAATGCTGATTTATTACATTATTTATGTTTTAAATTGTTTCTTCTCTTCCACAAATTTGGTTTATCTTCTGCATTTTAGGATTACCTAGTCGTAGAGACTAGGTGCCATCACGATAGTTCACGGAGGGCGAACCGGGGTCGTGACAAGTTGGTATTAGAGCTCTAGGTTCATAGGAGTCATGAATCACAAGTCGGTTTATTAGAGTCTCGCTGATCAGTACGGAGACGTCTGTACTTATGTACGAGAGGCTATGTAACTGTTAGGAAAATTTCCACTTCATTTGATTTCCTTATCGTGCGATATTTTGATATCACAATTCTAAACTTCTGTCTTCTATTCTCTCACAAATGGTGAGGACACGCACTACCTAAGATGATCAGGCACCCATGCCCCCTACTGCAACCGTCAGAGGTCGGGGCCGAGTTATAGGCCGTGGACGCGCACGTGGTGCAGCCAGAGCACCTGCGCGAGCTGCCATAGAGGAACCACACGTAGATCCAGCCGGAGCCGAAACACCTGATACGCCTACTGCTACTACTACTCCAGCATTTTAGGAGACTGGCATAGTTCATAAGCATGTACACCACTTTGGCTCAGGCAACGTTGCTTCCCCTTTCTTCAGCTACGTCTCATGCTGGGGGAGGAGCACAGACTCCCGCCGCCTGCACTCCTGAGCAGCGAGTGCATGTTGAGCAGGTCCCTGATATTATTCCTGTATAGCCTGTAGTCTGAGATCAGCTGGAGGACAGGGCAGTGACTTTCGAGGATGAGCAGTTGAGGCTTGAGTGGTTCAAGAAGTACAAGCCTCCTATATTCAGTGGTCTAGCATCGGATGATGCTCTAGGATTTCTAAATGAGTGTTACTGAATTCTCCATACCATGGGAATATCAGGATCGAGCGGGGTTTCCTTCACTACTTTCCAGTTTCGAGGAGCCGCCTATGAGTGCTGGTGCACCTATGAGTTAGACACTCCGGATGAGGCTGCTTCACTGACTTGGACTCAGTTTTCAGATCTGTTCCTGAGAGAGTATGTTCCTCAGAGCCTCTAGGACGCATGACACAGAGTTTGAGCATTTGTGCCAGGGTGCTATGACTATCTTAGAGTATGTTGTCTGTTACACTAGTTCGGCAAGGCATGCACCAGCCTTGGTTTCTACTGTTTGCGAGAGGGTTCGCCAGTTTATTGAGGGCCTTATTCCCAGCATCAGGTATAGCATGGCTCGTGAGTTGGAGATGGATATTTCTTATCAGTAGGTGGTGCACATTGCTATGAGGATTGAGTGTATGCATGCTAGGGAGAGAGATGAGAGGGAGGCCAAGAGGTCTCGAGAGTTGGGCCATTATTCTGGTGCCCGTGCCCCAGCTGCAGGTCTTCATGGTATGGGGTATATGAGTCGCCCTGTTCATTCAGCTCTTCCAGTAGCCAGTGGTATTCCAGCTCCTCCTAGGCCTTAGAAGCCTCATTATGCACCTCTGGTATCTACCGCGCCTCCTGCGCGGGGTGCTTTCAGAGGTCAGTCTAGAAGACCTAGCCCAAGCCAGTCACAGCCACCACGTCCTCCCATAGCTTGTTTTGAGTGTGGTGACACACGCCATGTGGTGAAGGATTGCCCTAGACTTGGGAGGAGTGCGCCTCCACAGACTTCTCAGCCACAGCGTGCCCCGCAGAGTTCCCAGGCTATGGTTACAGCTCAAGTTGCTACCACACCTACTCATCCAGCCAGAGGTGGAGGTCGGGGAGGTAGAGGTCACCCTAGAGGGAGAGGCCAGGCCCGATACTATACCCTTCCTGCCCGTACCGAGGCTATTGCCTCCGATTCTATCATCACATGTATTATACTAGTTTTTCACAGAGATGCATCGGTTCTATTCGAAACAGGCTCCACTTACTCTTATGTGTCTTCTTATTTTGCTCCGCATTTGGGTGTACGTCGGGATTCTTTGAGTTCCCCTATTTATATTTCTACTCCTGTGGGAGATTCTCTTGTTGCGGACCGCATTTATCGGTCATGTTTGGTTGCTCTTAGAGGTTTTGAGACCAGAGCCGATTTATTGTTGCTCAGCATGGTAAATTTTGATATTATTTTGGGCATGGACTGGTTATTGCCCCATTATGCTATTCTTGATTGTCACGCCAAAATTGTGATGCTGGCTATGCCAAGTGTACTGCATGTGGAGTGGAGGGGTACTTTATATCATACTCCCAGTAGAGTTATCTTTCCTTAAGGATCAGCGAATGGTTGAGAAGGGGTGTGACGTGTATCTAGCTTATGTGAGAGATGTCAGTATTGATACCCCTTCCGTTGATTCAGTCCTACTAGTACGGGATTTTCCTGATGTGTTTTCAGCTGATCTTACGGGCATGCCGCCCAATAGAGATATTGGTTTCGGCATTGATCTATTGTCGGGCACTCAGCCCATTTTTATTCCTCCGTATCGTATGGCTCCTCCTGAATTGAAGGAGTTGAAGGAGCAGTTACAGGAATTGCTCGATAAGGGTTTTATTCGGCCCAGTGTATCACCTTGGGGTGCTCATATCTTGTTTGTGAAGAAAAAAGATGGTTCTATGCGTATGTGTTTTGATTATCGCTAGTTGAACAAGGTTACAATGAAGAACCATTATCCTTCGCCTCGTATTGATGATCTGTTTGACCAGCTTCAGGGTGCACGAGTGTTTTCTATGATTGACTTGCACTCAGGTTACCATCAGTTGAAGATTCAAGAGCTAGATATCCCAAAGACTACTTTCAGGACTCGGTATGGTCATTACGAATTCCTTGTCATGTCATTTGGGCTGACCAATGCCCTAGCAGCCTTTATGCATTTGATGCATAGTGTGTTCCGGCCGTATCTTGACTCGTTCGTCATTGTCTTTATTGATGATATTTTGGTGTATTCCCGGAGCCGGGAAGTTCATAAGCATCACTTGAGGACTGTTCTTTACACTCTAAGAGAGAAGAAGTTATATGCTAAGTTTTCGAAATATGAGTTTTGGTTGGATTTCGTGACATTCCTAGGCCACGTGGTATCGAGTGAGGGTATTCAGGTGGATCCGAAGAAAATAGAGGCCGTGCAGAGTTGGCCCAGACCATCCTCAACTACAGAGATCCGCAGTTTCCTTGGCTTGGTGGGTTACTTCCGTCATTTTGTGGAAGGGTTTTTATCGATTGTAGCCCCTATGACCACGTTGACCCATAAGGGTGCTCCGTTCCAGTGGACGGAGGAGTGTGAGGCGAGCTTTCAGAAGCTTAAGATAGCTTTGACTAAAGCCCCAATTTTGATATTTCCTACAGGTTTGGGGTCTTATACGGTCTATTGTGATGCCTCGATGATTGGCCTCAGAGCAGTGTTGATGCAGGACAGTAGGGTTATTGCCTATGCGTCCAGACAGTTGAAGGTACATGAGAAGAAATATCCGGTCCGCGACCTCGAGTTAGCTTCCATTGTTCACGCCATAAAGATCTGATGCCACTATTTGTACGTGGTTCCTTGTGAGATTTGTACTGATCATCGGAGCTTGCAACACCTGTTCAAGCAAAATGATCTAAATTTGCGCCAGAGTAGATGGTTAGAGTTGCTGAAGGACTATGATATCACTATCTTGTATCACCCAGGCAAGGACAATATGGTAGTCTATGCCTTGAGTCGCCGTGCAGAGAGTTTGGGGAGTTTGGCTTATTTACCAGTATCGGAGAGACCTATGGCGATGGATATTCAAGCCTTAGCCAACTAGTTTGTGAGATTGGATCTTTCGGAGCCCAGTCGGGTTCTAGCTTGCATGGTTTCTCGGTCTTCCTTATTTGATCGTATTAGAGAGCGTCAGTATGATGACCCTCATTTACTTGTCCTCAAGGACAAGGTTCAATATAGTGATGCCAGAGATATGACTATTGGTGATGATGGGGTATTAAGGATGCAAGGTTAGATTTGTGTACCCAATGTTGATGGGCTTCGGGAGAGGATCCTGGAGGAGGTCCATAGTTCGCGGTATTCCATTCATCCGGGTGCCGCGAAGATGTATCAGGATTTGAGGCAGCACTATTGGTGGAGGCGGATGAAGAAATATATAGTTGGATTTGTAGCTCGGTGCCTCAACTGTTAGCAGGTGAAGTATGAGCACCAGAGACTAGGTGGGTAGCTTCAGAAGATAGAGATTCCGGAGTGGAAGTGGGAACGGATCACCATGGACTTTGTAGTTGGGCTCCCACGGACTTTGAGAAAGTTCGATGCTATTTGGGTGATTATGGATCGGCTGACCAAGTCCGCGTACTTCATTCCTATGTGTACTACTTATTCTTCAGAGCGGTTGACGGAGATTTATATTCGGGAGGTTGTTCGTCTGCATGGTATTCCAGTTTCCATAATTTCAGATAGAGGTACTCAGTTCACATCACGATTCTAGACAGCCGTTAAACATGAGTTGGGTACTCGGGTGAGTTGAGTACAACATTTCACCCTCAGACAGACGGACAGTCCGAGTGCACTATTCAGATTCTTAAAGATATGCTCCGTGCGTGTGTCATTGAGTTTGGTGGGTCTTGGGATCAGTTTTTGCTATTGGCGGAGTTTGCCTACAACAACAGCTATTAGTCCAGCATTCAGATGGCACCGTTTGAGGTTTTATATGGGAGGCGTTGTAGATCCCCAGTGGGTTGGTTTGAGCCGAGTGAGGCTAGAGTGTTGGGCAAAGACTTGGTTCAGGATACTTTGGAGAAGGTTAAGGTGATTCAGGATAGACTCCGTACAGCCTAGTCCAGAAAAAAGAGTTACGTGGACCGGAAGGTTCGTGATGTTTCCTATATGGTTTGAGAGCGGGTTCTACTTTGGGTTTCGCCTTTGAAGGGCATTATGAGATTTGGGAAGAAAAGGGAAGTTGAGTCCGAGGTTTATTGGCCCTTTTGACATATTGAGGCGTGTTGGGGAGGTTGCTTATGAGCTTGCCTTACCTCCAAGCTTGGTAGGAGTTCATCCGGTATTTCATGTTTCGATGGTCTGGAGGAATCACGGTGATTCGTCGCACGTGATGGATTTCAGTTCAGCCCAGTTGGACAAGGATCTATCCTATGTTGAGGAGCTAGTGGCAATATTGGACAGGCAGGTTAGAAAGCCGAGGTCAAAGAACATTGCATCAGTAAAGGTTCAGTGGCGGGGTTAGCCGGTCGAGGAAGCGACCTAGGAGACCGAGCAGGATATGCGCAACCATTACCCTCATCTTTTCACTATTTCAGGTGTGTCTCTATGCTCGTTCGAGGACGAACGAATGTTTAAGTGTATGAGGATGTGATGACCTGGCCGGTTATCTTAAGAATTAACCCCCCAATCCCCTATTAACTGCTTTCCCCATGTTTATTTATGATATTTTGATTTGCCGGGATGTTTGTCTTTGAGTTCGGAGAGTTTTGGGACACTTAGTCCCTAAATGAGAGCATAATTGTTAGAAAGTTGACCGTAGTAGGATCAGTGTGAAGACATCCTCGGAATGGAATTACGATGGCTCCGTTAGCTCCGTTGGGTGATTTCGGGCTTAGGAACGTGTTTGGATTGTATTTTGGAGGTCCGTAGCTAATTTAGGCTTGAAATGCCGAAAGTCGAATTTTGAAGTTTTTGGTTCGATTGTGAGATTTTGATTCGAGCGTCAGAATGGAATTCTAGAAGTTGGAGTAGCTCCATAGTGTTGGATGTGACGTGTGTGCAATATTTCAGGTCATTCGGACGAGGTTTGATAGATTTTTTTAAGAAAGCGTATTTTACAGTTTTGGAATTTTTAGGCTTGATTCCATGGTTGATTCGCCGTTTCGATGTTGGTTTAGGTGTTTTAAGGATTGGTATAAGTTTGGACAGTGGTATTAGACTTGTTGGCGCCTTTGGTTGAAGTCCCGGGGGCCTCGGGATGATTTCGGATGGTTGACGGAAGGATTATGGAATTTGGAGTTGCAGCTTCAGTTGCTGGTTTTCTGTCATAACCACACCTGCGAGTGTGGGACCGCAGGTGCGGCGCCGCAGAAGCGGCTATGTGGCCGCAGAAGCAAGATTGGCCCAGAGCTCCAGGATCCGCAGGTGCGGCTGGGTTTTCGCAAAAGTGGTGTCGCAGATGCGGCCAAGCGACCGCAGATGCGGACCCATCCCGTTAAGTGATTTTTCGCACCTGTGATGTATTCTTCCGCAGGTGCGGGACCTTGACCACAGATGCGGTAATCGCATGGCAGAAATATATAAATGCTTGCCTTCGCGAAATTTAGTCATTTTCATCTCTTTTCAAACAGGAAGAAGCTTGGGGAGCATTTTTCAAAAGGGATTTTCAAAGGAGTTTGTTGGGGTAAGGTCTTTGGTCCCTAAACTCGTTATTGGAGTGATTTTTATCATCATAAGCATGATAAATTAAGGAAAATCAGTGGTAATTTGGGGGTTAGGGCTTGACTAATTAGAGGCCTTTGAGTGATGATTTGAGGGATCAATTGAGGTCCGATTTTGGTACTTATGGTATGATTGAACTCGTGAGAGTGTAAGGATTCTATAAATGTAAATTTTACCTGATTCCGAGATGTGGGCCCGAGGGGCGTTTTTGTCATTTTACCTAATTTCGCATATTAGCTTAGAATTTCTTTGTAGAATCAGTTACTTGAAGTGTTATTTACATTATGAAATTGAATTGAATAGATTTGGGCTATTTGGGGTCAAGTACTCGTGGCAAGAAAGTGGTATCAGATTGATTTGAGTTTGTTCGAGGTAAGTGGCATGCCTAACCTTGTGTGGGGGACCTTCCCCTTAGGATTTGGTATAATTGATAATTGAAATGCCCTGTAAGTGAGGTGACGAGTGCGTACTTAAGCTAATTGTTGAAAAATCCATTTTTTTTACGTAATGTCAATTGTGTTCCTTTTTTCCTGTTTCATTTTACTTGCAATTTAAACCTGTTGCTAGCTTAGAAAATGCATGTCTAATTGACATAACTGTTTATATGCTTAAACTACCTTAATTGAATTATATGAAGCATGCTAAATTAGAATTACCTGTTTTACTTGGTACGAGCTTGAGCTTAATTGAGTATTCTTGTGTTGCTGCTGTGTGTTTTACTTTGGGACTACGGGACGGCATCCTGGGAGATCTCCTGTACGTATTTATTATTTGAACTGAGGTGCGGGATACCAAGAGATCCCTGGCACGTATATTGAGGATACCAAGAGATCCTCGGGATACTAAGAAATCCCGGGTATATATTGAGGATGCCAAGAGATCCTCGGGATACCAAGAGATCCCTTGTATACATTGAGGAACCTAGATCTGCACACGAAATATATGTGTAGGAAAGGTCATGAGTACACCACAGCGGTACCCAGTAAGTGTCAAGCCTAACCTCGGTCGTGCAGTGACAAGGAAGGTCAGGGCCTTACCGGTCATATACATATATATATAAAGAAATGAAATAGTATGAAGTAACACTTGATAATAAGAAATATCAACAAATACAATGCAGAGGAAACCACAGAAACAACATAAATCCACACAGAGGTAACAACCGTGGATCTACTAGGATACCGTCAGGTATTTCCCAAATATAAATATCCAGTGGATCTCCCGGGTGTCGTCCCATAGTTCAACTTGTAGTGCGTAGGGGATCTACCAGAATACCAATCTCTAGTCTCAAATGTAAATACCCAGTACTAGGGGAATCTATCGGGTGCAGTCCCGTAGTCCAATTCGTAGTGCGCAGTGGATCTCCAAGAATATCAATCTGTAGTCCCAAATATAAATACTCAGTATTGGGGGAATCTACCGGGTATAGTCCTGTAGTTCCAATATAAATGTGCAAGGGAATCTACCAGAATATCAATCTGTAGTCTCAAATAAACAAGCAAGGGGGATCTATCGGGATATCGCTCGTAGTCCCAAAGTAAACACACAACAGCAACACGAAGAATATTCAATTCAATCCAATTTCATACCAAGGTAAAAAAAGGTATTTCTAACCTAGCATGCTACACAGAATTCAAATAAAGCAGTTTGAACAAGTAAAGCAATTAAGTCACTTAAACATGCTTCCCTAAGCTTGCAGTATGCTTAAATTGCAAGTAGTATAAACAGGGAAGAAAAACACAGTTATAGTTACTTAATGAAAATAGTATTTTCAAAAATTAGCACATGTATGCACTCGTCACCTCACGTACAAGGCATTTCATATATCAACAATACCAAATCCTAAGGGGATTTCCCCCACACAAGGTTAGGCAAGCAACTTACCTCGAACCAGCTCAATCAACTCGATATCACGTTCTTTCCATGAGTACACGACTCCAAATGGCCCAAATCTATTAAAAGTAATTACATAATATAAATATAACTTTAAATAACTAATTCAACTAATTAATTCGAAACTAACACACGAAATTTAGAAAATCGCCCAAAAAGTCCCCCGGGCCCACATCTCGGAATTGGATAACATTTGCAAAATAGTATCCTCACACTCTCACGAGTTCATACATACCAAATACATAAAAATCGGACCACAAACAGCCCTTCAAATCCCTAATTCCAAGACTCCAATTTCAAACCCTAAACCCTAATTCTAACCCTTATCTTTCCATAAATTTCTTGCCAAATCAGTAGAACAATACCATATAAACGAGTTTGGGGTTCCAAAAATCTTACCTCTTTGAAGCTCCCTTGAATCATCTCTCAAAAACCTCAAAAAAAGCTAAATCTTCGGATAAAAATGGTGAAAGAATAGGCTAAAATCGTGACAAAAATCTTATATAGGTTCTGGCCCAGGGTTTTCGCAGCCGCGGTCCCAGATGCACATCTGTGAAATTCCACTTAAAGCACAAGGCTGCACATGCACTTCTTTTACCGCACCTGCGATCTCGCAGGTGCGCTCAACCTCTCGCACATGCGGATCCTAGTCTCCAAGTTCCTGGCCGCATCTGCGGCTCCTAGTCTACAAGTTCCTGGCCGCATCTGCAGCTCCTCTATCACTTCTGTGATCGCGCACCTATGGTCCCCAAACCGCAGGTGCGGTTATGATAGACTTCAGCAGTTGAAGCTGCTTCGAAATATCCCAAATCCTTCCGTCAGCCTTTTGAAATCATCTCGAGGCCCCCGTGACCTCAATCCAAAATACAAAAAAGTCATATACCAGTATTTAAACTTGTACCAACCATCGAAACACTCAAAACAACGCAGGAATACCAAATCAGCCTCGGATTCAAGCCTAAGGATTCCAAAACATCCAATTTCCGCTTTCGATCAAAAAGTCTATCAAACCTTGTCCGAATGACCAGAAATTTGCACACACATCTCAAATAACACAACAAACCTACTCCAACATTCGTAATTCCATTCCTACCCTGATATCAAAATCTCACTATCGAACCGGAAATTTCAAAAAATTGACTTTCGGCATTTCAAGCCTAATTAAGCTACGGACCTGCAAAACACAATCCGAACACACTTTTAAGCCCGAAATCACCCAACGGAGCTAACGGAACCAACAAAATTCCATTCTGAGGTCGTCTTCATACTGCTCCGACTATGGTCCAAATTCTAAAGTTTAAGCTCTCATTTAGGGACTAAGTGTCCCAAAACACTCCGAAGCTCCAACGAATCCTCCCGGCAATTCACAATAGCAGAAATAAACACAGGGAAAGAAGTTAATAGGGGATCAGGGCATTAATTCTTAAAAATGACCGGCCGGGCCGTTACATCCTCCCCCTCTTAAAACATTCGTTCATCTACAAACGAGCATAGAGACATACCTGAAGTAGTGAAAAGATGAGGGTAGCGGCTACGCATATCCTACTCGGTCTCCCAAGTCGCCTCCTCGACCGACTGACCCCACCACTGAACCTTGACGGATACAATGTCCTTTGACCTCAGCTTCCGAACTTGCCTATCTAATATCGCCATCGGCTTCTCAACATAAGATAGATCTTTGTCCAACTGGACTGAACTAAAATCCAACATGTGCGATGGATCACTGTGATACCTCCGGAGCATCGAAACATGAAATGCCGGATGAACTCTTGCCAAGTTAGGAGGTAAGACAAGCTCATAAGCAACCTCCCCAACACGCCTCAATATTTCAAAAGAACCAATAAACCTCGGACTCAATTTCCTCTTCTTCCAAAATCTCATAATGCCTTTCATAGGCGAGACCCGAAGCAAGACCCGCTCTCCGACCATGTAGGAAACATCACGAACCTTCCGGTCTGGATAACTCTTCTGTATAGACTGGGGTGTGTGAAGTCTATCCTGAATCACCTTAACCTTCTCCAAGGCGTCCTGAACCAAGTATGTGCCTAATAATCTAGTCTCATCCGGCTCAAACCAAACCACTGGGGATCCACACCGCCTACCATACAAAGCATCATACGGTGCCATCTGAATGTTGGACTGATAACTGTTGTTGTAGGCAAACTCCGCCAATGACAAGAACTGATCCCAAGAACCTCCAAACTCCATCACACACGCACGGAGCATATCCTTAAGAATCTGAATAGTGTGCTCAGGTTGTCCGTCTGTCAAGGGGTGAAATGCTGTACTGAACTCCACCCGAGTACCCAACTCATGCTATACGGCCCTCCAGAACCGTGATGTGAACTGAGTACCTCTATCTGAAATGATGGAAACTTGAATATTATGTAGACGAACAATCTCCTGGATATAAATCTCTGCCAACCGCTCTGAAGAATAGGTAGTACACACAGGAAGGAAATGTGCGGACTTGGTCAGCCGATCCATAATCATCCAAATGGCATCGAACTTCCTCAAAGTGAATGGGAGTCCAAATACGAAGTCCGTGGTGATCCGCTCCCACTTCCACTCCGAAATCTCTATCTACTAAAGCAACCCTCCTGGCCTCTGGTGCTCATACTTCACCTGTTGTAAATTGAGGCACCGAGCTACAAACCCAACTATATCTTTCTTCATCCGCTTCCATCAATAATGTTGTGTCAACTTCTTGGACATCTTCCCCGCACTCGGATGGATGGAATACCGCGAACTATGGGCCTCCTGTAGAATCAACTCTCGAAGCCCATCAACATTGGGTACACAAACACAACCCTGCATTCTCAATACCCCGTCATCACTAATAGTCACATCTCTGGCATCGCCATGCAGAACCTTGTCCTTGAGGAAAAGCAAATGGGGTTCATCAAACTGACGCTCCCGGATACGATCAAACAAGGAAGACCGAGAAACAACACAAGCAAGGACCCGAATGGGCACCGAAAGATCTAATCTTACAAACTGGCTTGCTAAGGCATGAACATCCATCGCCATGGGCCTCTCCACTGCTGGTAAACTCCCCAAACTCTCCGCCCGGCAACTCAAAGCATTGGCCACCACATTGGCCTTGCCCGAGTGGTACAAAATAGTGATATCATAGTCTTTCAACAGCTGTAACCACCTCCTCTAGCGCAAATTAATGTCCTTCTACTTGAACAGGTGCTGCAAACTTCGGTGATCAGTATAGATCTCACAAGGAACACCGTACAAATAATGATGCCTGATCTTCAGGGCGTGAACAATAGCAGCTATCTCGAGATCATGGACATGATAATTCTTCTAATGTGCCTTTAATTGTCTGGATGCGTAGGAAATCACCCTACCATCCTTCATCAATACCGCTCCAAAGTCAGTCCTCGAGGTATCACAATAGATAGTATAAGACCCCAAACCTGTAGGCAATATCAAAATTTGGGCTATAGTCAAAGCTCTCCTCACACTCT